CAAATGTGTATTTTGGATAAAATAGGGCAAAAATAGGGAAACAAATATACTCTAATTTTATCTTTTTATCACCCAACATTTTATCTTTTTATCATCCGTCCATTAGAGAAGATTTATGTCTTTCCAATAAAAAAATTGGCTTCTCATACGGCTCCTCACTATAATTTTTTAATTATTGCTTTCTTATGCGCATTATTCTGTATGCATATTATCAAGTTAGTTTACACACCAAATTCCATGATAATATTCAGTTATGGAACGAACAAAAATTAGCATACGTAGAAAAACAAAACGTGATATTAATTTGTAGTGGGATGAAAATAAAAAATGAAAAAGTCTAAGATATATCTTATCTTTTTACTTATCATAATAGGAATAAAAAAAAAAAAATTATAATTAAAAGAAAGTTGTGAAGATAATTTAAACAAAAAGATATGTATGGAGGAAAGTTGTGTGTGTAGGAGATGTAATATTTTCATAGAGTTTAAAAAGGAAGGATAATTTGAGCAAAAATGTAACATATTTATAAATTAAGTTATATTAATAAATTTTGTTACAAACAGGACTTATGAAGATATTAGTACTTAGTAGGCCTTAAATAATAGCCCTATTCTCAAATACAATAACAGATCACGGAGGAATATGGGATATCCATTACAACACCAAGATCCATCTCTTATTATCTAAGAGCCGAATAATTATAAACTATAAATTCCATTGAGGTAATCCTTAAATAATATTATAAACTATAAACTCGATCGAGATAATTCATAAATAATATTGTAAACTATAAACTCGATCAAGATAATCCATAAAGAATCATTTATGTGTCTAGTTTAGCTAAAGCAAACAAAATGTCAAAGAAATAAATCACATAAGAAAAGCTCTTACTAAGATGTTGTAAAAGAATAAGTCAAATAAGATTTAAAAGTGTAAGTCTTATTTGTGAAAGAACAAAATTAAAATATAATAAGTAAAATTATAACAAATAATAAATATTTAACTTTCGATCTCTTAAGAAGTATTTATAAAAGATGTCAAAAATTAGTGTATATGATATGAAATTATACGTCCAAATATAAAATATATAAAATAATATAATTTTTGTACGATATATGCACAAAATGTACACAATATAATTAAATACTAATCTTAACATAATTGGTAAAATGACTAATTTGAAATCTCTTTTTGTTTGAGGATAATAGTCTCTGTTAATGCTTGAAAAATGAATGTCAATAATGCCCCATTTATCTTATTAGGATAATAAATATCCAGAAAAAAAAAAAAATTGGACAATGTGAATTTAAATTAAAAAGAATAAAAATCAAGCTTTAACATTAATTTCCCAACCCCGACCTACATTGTGCACCCAACACCCTTATAAATTTCTGAGTCTCTTTTTAAGCGTCATCTATCAAATATTTTAAATTAGAAATAGATTTTGAAATTAATTTACCAAAAACATCCCACTATTAAGGTTGAAATTGAATATCAATAATATTACAGATTTGATTCAATCAAATTTCAATTCTCAAGATTACAAACCAAATTAATTTTTACTCTTATATGTTTTTAAGAAAGTTGTAATCAACTAGGTTTTTTTTTTTTTAGTTTCAAATGCCTGGTTAATTAGTTCTACATTTCTTGAGAACTATATAAATTTTCTATTGATACCTTCTTTGTCCTTTGCTAATACAGTATATGAAGTGACTTTGCGATTTTGCCAGTATCCCGTCTTTGCTTTTTGTTTACAGTCAACAATATGAAGGCACTGCTTCAAGATTTAGGAACATGTCCACCTTTGAGGTTTATGCAAGGTCAAATTTTACTCCTATAACTAATATAGTTGTCTTGTTCATTGCTTTTGGAAACAAAAATTGATGCACCAACAATTTGTAGGCGTGAATTTTAGGTTTTTTTTTTTTTTTTTCAATAATTCTGATTCTCTGTTGTGTTTGTTTCTAAGCAAAGTCGGTATTTTAAGAAGGAAGGGAGTTTGAATGTTTGGGAAGACAATTTTGGAATAAAAAAGATAAATTTATAAGTTAATTTTTATAACAAATTTTATTTAAAATTGGGTTTACAAAGAGTCTAAGTGAGACTTAAATAACAACGATCCTGTGAAAATATATTTATGACAGGGTTGAGCCTATTTTATTTTATTTAGCCCAATCACTTAACCATGACATGGAAATAATGTTTGTGGAATAAGTGGGTAGATTTAAATAATTAAAATAAAAACACACAATTAATACATCTATAATATGTATCATTGTTAAATTAATGTTATTACATTTTCTTGAATTCAGTCATAGTATTTATATACTTAAAAAACCAAGCCCATGCCAGAGAATATTTATTTTCCCTACATATCGTCAAATTAAAAAATACAGAAACAATAACTTACAAACTTAAACTTCCTTTTCCAAGAAAAAAAAAAAAAGAAGGAAAATTACATTATAAAAAATAACAGTACAAGAAACAAGTTAATTATAATAACTTTATCATATTATCATAATAAAACAACACAATGAAAGTTCATTGTTTACTATTACAAGAAAACAATAACTTAATTATAAGATCATCGAGTTGAATCATTCTAATCATTAGAATTATTTGATGATTGTTATATCAAATTTCACACATACTTCATAAACTTTATTATATATTACTCAGATTTCTGTAAATGGAGATTCAAAGCTCAAATGAACATGGATCCACTATTTTTTCATGCCACCTTCCACCATCGGGGCCTTTGAAGCCATTGACACACCAAGGTTTTGCTTCTCCGCATTTTCTTTCCAGCCTTTACAATTTTAAAGAACATCAACACAAAATAATAATAACAACAACAATAATAATAATACAGATCACATCAACCGGATCATCCATAAATCCACATGTGAGCGATAAAATTTAAGGAGAGAAAGAATTTGGCACCAGAAGACATGTCGAATCCACGGCTTTTGAGCTCGTGACGTGCTTGATATAAAGGGCACAGCTCGCAGAAGAAATGAACCAGAAAGTCATCACAAGGGCTTTTCTTTAACATGAATTGCTGCCTCAGTTTGGAGCGGTAGCAGCAAGAGTAGCAACAAGCACATCCAGTCAGCGAAGAAACTACACAGTAAAGTGCTCCATTTACGCAACAAGCTGCAAAGCAATTTAATTGGTCACGGATGATTACGAAATTTCAATTAATCAAAGATTTGGAATTATCCAATCAAAATTAAAAACATTTACTAATGTTTAAGTATTTTTCTTAAAGAAACGTTTGAACATTTCAAGTATAGCATCAGCAGGCCAAGTTTTCAACTACGAAGATACATTGAAAATTTTCACTTTTGGTTGGTTCACCGAACCAGGAGTACTTCTCACCAATTTCATTGTACGTTGACTCGATCCTCCTTGCATATAAATACCTTTTCACCATTTTAATTATTAAGATCACAGTACTGTAGACGTAAAAATCTACCTGTACGGAAAGAGAGACTGATCCTGTGAGGTTGAGGCTACTAGCGATCTGCTGCAGCTGCACACATAAAGAAACAAACGTGAAGCGACAGAAAACACCAGGGTGGTGTTTTCTGTAGGTACTCCGACGCTCAAGTCAGCAAGGCTGAATGAGGCTAATTTAGTGAGGGCTAAGGAGTAGAAATGTTACCGGAAGTCTAGTCGAGGACTGTGACTACGGCTGTGATGCGAAGTTCTAAAGAGTAGGAACTTCAGGGTCTGAGGGTGTAATGTCGATGTCCCTTGTGAGAGGGCTGAACTCTATTTAAATAGTGACTGCATGATCTCTGAGTCTTGGTAGGACTGGGAGTCCTTGTGATGATCGTCTTCTTCGAAGATGTAGCCTTTGGCTCCCTTATCTCAGCAAGAAAGGGAGTTCGAATGTGCCCCAGGTACGGACCTAGGAGGAGTTGGGATAGTAATTGACTTCGTCCGCAAAGTTTAAGTAAGAATGTACTTCTAAGCGACTGTGGGCTCCGAGTTGATCGTAAGCCCAACAGGTGTTCAAGGGTTAGGAGGCTTGGGTCTAAACGGTAAGAAGCTGAGAAAACATACTGAATGGGCCTCATTTGCAGAACTCTGATTTGGGCCCATCGGAATTGAGCCCGAGCTTCCAACTTGGATGAAGGTGTCTTCGTCTTTGGGCCTATTTGGGCCAAGGCCATTTTTTGGCCCTAACAGTTTGTCTCCCACTCTCTGAGTTAAGGAATGCTTAACGTAGAGAGTAGACATTGCTCGGAGGTGTATTTGGTTGGCCTCCTCTGTCGACCGGCTGAACGTTGCCGTGTTAGTTAGTGAGGCCTACGATATGCCAGACCGGGCGGACGGAGGTGGCATGTGGTCATGAATGTACTCGGTGCCTTTAACCGAGTAGGAGTGTAAAATCGACCCACGGGGTGCTGTCACTCGGTGTATGGAGTTGAGCGAGCAAGTGTATGAGCAAACTGTGGTGAAGCTGTACTCACTCGATGTGTCAGACCGAGTACGTAAATGAACAGATATCTTGTGAAGCTGTACTCAGCAGGTGTGTCTGAGCGAGTATACAAATGAACGAGTTCTCGTGAGGGAGTATTTGCTTGGTGTGTCTAACCGAGCGCGTGAATGAATGATTATCTTGGGAAGGTGTATTCGCTCGGTATGCCTGGACAAGTGGATTCCATTCAGCCCAGCGTGGGGTGGATTGGTTGAGCCTGAGCGAAGTGACGTACGCACGCTTACATTCTGTGCGTTACCGGATCGTCCATTCGGGATGATCAAGTAAGTTGGTTGCCTTCATCTTTGTTGGTGCTTGTCTCAAAGCTAAAAATAGGGTTGCCGGTTTCAGGTTGGTCACCCGGTCGGGACTACCTCCTGGATGGGTACAATGACAAAACTCGTTGGCTTTGTCGCATGTGATTTGGTGTGGTTGGGTTTGCCAAATCGGTCAGGTAGGATGCGCGACCCATCATGGCTTTTGTACGGGATTACGATTCCCTTGGTGTCACAGATCTCCACCACGTGTACGGTGATGATTTGGTCTTCGTTTTAGGCAAGAAAGCGAAGTGTCACTCTGTCCCGTAACCAATGGGGGCAGCCACGTGTCTCCCTCTATCAGGCCTCTTCCATAAAATCGAGAGAGCGGACTGTTCATCTTCATTTCGTGTCTTTCTCTAACTTTCTTCAGTTTTTCTCCCTTTCTCTTCTATTTCCTTCATTCGTTTCAAGTTTTCTTCAGTAACGGTGGTTCTCTTTTGCAGATTTCGGCTTCAATCACGATAAACGCTGTATTTTTGTACCGTTTGTTTGTTGCTTTGTTTTTTCTCTTTCTCTCTCTTTTTTTTTTTTTTTTTTTTCTCTCTCTCTCTCTCTCTCTTTGCTCTCTTACAAGTTTTTTGGTGCGTTGAGTTCTGGTAGACTTGGACTTGGATTTGATCGTTTTTTCCTCTTTGAAAGATTTTGAAAAGTTTGGAGAAGAGGTTTTATTTTGAAGAAGCTTACAATTCCGGTTGAACAGAGCTTGAAATTCCGGTTGAACAGAAAAAGGTGTTGTCAGTTCACGGTAGTCTAGGCCAAGCATCAATCAGATAGTGGTTGGTTTTAAGAAAGCAAGTAGGTCGATCGTTCAGGGTGAGCGGTGATCAGTTAGTACCAGGTTTTAAAGATAGCAGGTCGATCGGTCAGTTGGGCTGAGTGGTGATAGTTTTGAAAAGAGTAGGTTGATCGGTCAGAGTGAGGGTTGATCAGTTGGTGATAGTTCTTGAAGTGGATAGGTCGGTCAGCTTATCGGGACGAGTGGTGATAGATTTGAATAAAGTAGGTCGGTCGGTGGTAAAGGGCAAGCAGGGATCAGATAGTGAGTTTGAGTAGGCTCTCAATTGGAGAGGTCGGTCTCTCGGGGCGAGTAGGTAAGTTATCTAATGTCTAGGTTAAGGTCGGGCAACTCGGATGGGGCTGAGACAAGAGTTGGGGATGAGTATGAGAATGCCCCGACCATAGTGATGACGCCTGAAGGTGGAGGCATCCCAATCGGTTTACCGATCGGGGAGAACGTGGCTACCGCTAGGCCGAGTGGCACCGCCTCGAGTGATGAATCGGACAGGCAGGGGGGAAGCAGGGAAGACTACAATAGAGTTAGTGATTCTAACAGGCTTCCATCGATAATGGTTTAGAGGACGAGCCGAGTTAGCCTAGCAGTGGGATTCTAAGCCGGGATTATCTGCCCGTACTTAAGGACAATGATGTATGGCGGATCCGAACGATGTATCACATTCCAGATTTGGTCGAGATCAGGGCGCTGCGATCGTACGAGCGGGTCAATTGGGAGGCAAAAGGTTAGGTGAGTGTCCATGAGAAGTGGTTTCACGATGGGCTGAGGTTTCCCATTCCTCGCCTTATCTGGGAGGTACTGAACCATTTCATGATTGCCCCGTCCCAGATTATGTTGAACAGTTGGAGGTTGCTGATGGCATTGGAGGACCTTTGTGTGCAGAACCAGGTGATGTTTGGGCTGCACGAGCTGCTGTATTCGTATTTTCTGAAGGAAAACAATAAAGAGAAAGGTAGATAACTTATCAACCTTAGGCATGATCGGTCTCACCTAGTAACTGACTTTCGATCGAGTGACAAGAATTAGAAGGATCGGTATTTTTTTGTGAGGTGTGAGGCAGTCTTTGGGGAGAGAGGCCATGGCGAGATTCTGTGCACTTGGCGAACCACTGGTGATTAACTTTGTCTTTATCTTGTATTTTAATTACTAAATCTTATTGTGTTTCTTCTTTGCAGAGCTTGAATTCAATCGAGCCGGACAGAGTGGGGATGGCTTGGACATGCAGACCCAGAAGGTTCTAGCCATTCCCAAAGCGCAGAAGGATTGGCGGGTGGTGTTGGAGGAAGCTAACCTCAGGACGAGTCATCTCTGGGCCGGAGTAGGAGAGATTCAGCGAGGTATTCTCTTCCCTTCGTTGAAGTAGACTTGGAATGTGCTGCTAACTCACTACTGCACTCAAACCTTGTATGGTAAATCGAGGCTGAACCTAGTACCTGTTGGAGAGTTTGTAATTGCAGAAAAGTTAATGAAGAAGTTGACCGTCCCAAGTGTTAGAAAGTCTATTGCTAGGCGTCGGGAGAAGCGGAAGAGGGAATCCTCGGCCAGAGAGGAGAGGAGAGCGGAAGATATGGTGGCGATTCCACCAAATCGTCAGCCCGTGGCTGGAGTTGGATCATCCAAGACCGCAGTCTTAGATGAAGAGATTGAGATGATTACCTTTAACATTCCAGCTTCTCTACGTTGACTTATTCGGATGCGGCTTCTATGAGCCAGTTGGCTGACTTATTCCTGTTCCCAGCGGACGAGACCCATTTGAACCAGATGAGTGCGGTCACGACTACTGACTGGGGGGTATCCCATGCTTTCCAAGTATGAGCCAGAGTTTTACTTACTGTGTTTCTCGTGGTCATATACTGATCAAATTGTTTTGTTATGCAGGCATTCACGAGCAGCTTCCACCTGAGGAAGTCCATCATGGCATAGGAGAAGAGGATGCATGATGTATCCAAATCAAATGCTAGTTTATGCCAGAGAGAAGCGGTGGCCCAGAAGGCTGAACAGGAGTGCTAGCAGCATCTCAAGGAAGTCGAGAGTGAGTTAGAGCGGCTAAGGAAGGAGCTGGCCGAGAAGACTATAGAGGTCGAGTCTCTAAGGGAGCAGTGCCTGAGCATTGCTGATGACACTATCATTAGGGCCCGGGGAGAACTTATGCTTGAGTACAAGGCCGGGAAAACCTCTTACTGGGACTCGAATGAGGATATCCAGTTCATGCGGGAGATGATAGAGGAGGAGACCGCTGAGCATACGGAGGAGTAGATTGATGAACAGGTGCTCGATTTTGCTAGCCAGCCAGTGTCATCGATTATTGAGGATGTGAGCGATCAGGCTGTAAGGGCGAGTGCTGGGGCTGGTGATAGGATGATCGAGTTGGAGATGGGTGGGATGACTCGTACCGATGAGACTTAGCTTTTTTTTTTTTTTTTTTTTTGCTCATGTATTTTTGGGGTTTGCGATGCCCTTCCCTGGCGTGTATGCCTTACTTTGTATTGAAAACTTAGCTGCTTAAGGCTCTTCTTATATTATACTTGTGATTCTATTTTGGTGCTTTCCTTGTGGATGAATGAGTTGATTGCTTATTTGTTTGTAGATGCATTAGGGGTTGAACCGACTGCTTGTGTTATGACCTCAATGCGGCCAAGTGGCTGAGTCATGTGGACTTTTTATTGGGTTGGGTCGATGACTTATCGATTTTGGGGTGCAAGTCCCCTTCAATCGGTCTGGGCCGACTGAATGTGTAAGTATATAAATTAGTTTGGGCCAATCGAGGGTGTAAATTCATGAATAAGGCCGGGCTGATCGAAGGTGTAAACTCGTGAATCGGGCTGGATCGATCGAAAGTGTAAAAAACTCATGAATCAGGCAAGGCCGATTGAAGGTGTTAAAAACTCATGAATCGGGCAAGGTCGATCGAAGATGTAAACTTATGAATCGGGCAGGGCCAATCGAAGGTGTAAAAAACTCATGAATCGAGCAGGGCCGATCGAAGGTGTAAACTCATGAATCAGGCAAGGCCGATCGAAGGTGTAAAAAACTCATGAATCGGGCAAAGCCAATCGAAGGTGTAAAAAACTCATGAATCAGGCAGGGTCGATCGAAGGTGTAAACTCTTGAATCCGACAGGGTCGATCAAAGGTGTAAAAAACTCATGAATCGGGTAGGGCCCATCGAAGGTGCAAATTGTTGAATAATGCTTCATTGAATTCAGGCCATGAGGCCGACTGTCTGTGAAGGAGGTGGATAGGCCCACTCATCCTTTTTCAAATAAAAACAAAAAGAAAACAAATATGTAGATGAATGAGTTCACCTAAAAGTAGTAGCGTTTGAAATAGACTGCATTCCAACTGTTGCTGATGTCTTTGCCTTTGGGAGTTTGGAGTCGGTAGGTGCCCTTCCCTGCTTTTTTGGTGATTTTATAGGGACCCTCCCAGTTGGGACCGAGCTTTCCAGAGTTGATCTCCTAGTGTTTTGAAAGACCTTGCAAAGGACCCAGTCGCCTGTTTTGAAAATCCTGATCTTGACGTTGCGGTTGTAGTGTTGGGCAGTGATAAAAGCTTGAAAATACATATTTTGTTAGTGATTCAATTAGATTATTTGTGGAAAAATGTGTTTAATTTGTGAAATTTAACTTAATTATTTCATAAATGTCTTTTATGGGATACGGGTATGTTTTGAGTGTTTTCAGGTTCTTAAAGATGATATTCGGATGAAGGTTATATCGATGATGGAATGTGGGACATTAGAGCTGTAGATTTTGGATTGAGACTATTCTTGAACCGTTGGAAAGCTGATTCAAAGGGCTACAATTCATATGTTTACCACTTGTCAAGATTCAAACGTTATCATGCTCAAAAACCACCATCTTATCAAGATTTCGAGTTCTGGGGCACAATCAACCATGCCTAGGCACAGTGCCGCGGCACAACTGTGAATCTGGACTTTTTTAGATTAAATTTATGACATGTATTTCCTGTTTTAAGAGTTCTAAAGTGATTAGGATAGTGGGAATCATAACCCTAAAACCCTAGGAGTATAAATAGATGTCTTTAGCTGATTTTTAGAGATGAGAAGGGAGAGAAGTTCAGCTGCTCTTTGGAGATTGCGAATTCCTGCAATTTTGAGTCACCAATTAGAGAAGTTTTTCTAGTCTTTCTTATACTCATGTTTATGAATGCAATGGCTTTTATTATTAAAAGTATGAACTAATTTTATTTTCTAGGGCTAAGATGTAGCCCAATTTTATGAATATACATTGAATTATTTGTTGCTAATTTTTATTAAGTTTTGTTTTAAGTTTTATTATTGCACTTAAAGCTTTCAATTCTTAAAGGTCCTAGAGTTGAATGATTTTATGGGTTAGGTTGAGATTGAGAGATGAAACCTAATTAGTCTAAGGTAATAAAACCATAGATTGAGCGAACGCTAGAGATAGGTTACTGCGATCTATGAGGTTCTGGCAAATTCCATAGAACTTAATGATCTCCAATTGCTTAAATCTGATTAGAGATAATTCGGGTTAGTAATTAGGAGTTAATTTGTTAATTGTTCGAGAG